AAGAGTCCTGTCATCAGCAGGAATACTGGGATGACTCTGCAGTCATTGGGAGCATCGAAGATGGAGCAGAAGCTGAGGACAGATGAAACGCTTTATGTCTCATCCTGAATGTTGAAACCAGGGAGGTGATTGTAGATTTTAGAAGAAACAGGAACAGGTTCAACCATGGATTGGAACCAAACAGGACTTTAGACTTTGCCCGCCAACAGTCAGTACATGGATAGGTGCTGAGGAATAAAAAACACTCCACTTCTTTTGATAACCTTTTGCTGAGTTCTAATCCAGCGGGTGCTTCCTCCAAAGGCCAGATTCGTCTTCTGTCTTATGTCATAACGCTGTGCCAAGGCCGCTTTGGATTGAAGGACTCCTCGTCATGCGGCCAACAAATGAAGGACGGGTCGGCTGTACCCTCTGTAGCCGTGGGTATCCCATGATTCATTGCGAGTCTAAGCTAGCTGGCTGCTCTTTGCTCAGAGGAAAAATGGCGCCGAACAGTGGTGAATGTTGGAAGTTCAGTTAATTTATAATCCAAGTCTGAATATTTCCGTCTTAAAAGGAATAAAAATTGTTGTTTTAATGGTTATTGATTTAGATATGTGGCAGTAATGTTTGATTTATCTAAAGGTTTTATCTAACCCTGTCTAAATGGGTTTGGCTGACATTGAAGCACAGATTCCAATATCTCTGCAGAGTGGGGACTATAAATCTGATATCTGATACTACGACGGTATGAAGACGGTCAGAAATGTTATTAGCACCCAGAACAGTAGTGAGAAGATCAGCAGCCATTCTTTGCCTGCTTTTGGTGTCAACTGTAATGGTTGCTAGGCGACAGAGCGTACAGAAGGTAACAGCCGGAGAAGGCTGGGTCTGTTTGAATCCGCAGCCTAAACTCTTCCAGTCTCCTTATATTCACAGACCTGAAAGGACCTGGTCCAGGTAGACCGAGTCCTTGGAAGACTCAACCAGCTGGCATTCAGCTTAAAGGAGCATTACTGCCACCTGCTGGACAGGATGAGAAACAGTAGCTCAGTGGCGTGGATGAATGAAAGCTGGTGATGACATGGCGGCCAACAACCATCTGTGATTCGCTAGAGTGTATAGATGCTGAGTCCTTCTGTGGTTCATCCCTCTTAGCATCATGGCAGAAGAAGTGGGGGTGGAGTAATAAGACCTCAGAGTTCACCTGTACTACAGACTGGACTGGAGACGCAACTGTGAAGCTTTAGCTGAGAAAAACAATTCCTGATGAAATGAAGAACATTATGGACCACAGTGAGAATCCTTTCATCAGGCTGTTAAAAAACAGCAGCGTCTTCAGTCAGAGGCTTCAATAGAAGCCTGAGTCAGTAAGACAGGCAGATACAGACCATCCTTCCTGCCTGCAGTCATCAACGTCTATGAATAAATATAAAAAAGAGTTATAAAAACCTTTAGTTTCCCTTTGGTTAATCAATGGAGCGTTTATGACTTGAATGTCTAACACTGCTTTTATTTCTGATCTTTTTTCCACAGCCGCATCACGTGGGCCAAGTTCATAAACTGTGGTCAGACCTGCATTGCTCCAGATTTTATTCTGTGTGAACCTTCTGTCCAAAGCAGAGTAGTGGAAGCGATCAAGAAGTGCATTAAGGTTAGTTGGGTTCAGTGTTATTACTATTACTAGTCTTAGTCACTTTTTAGTCATTGCTATATGTGATAGTTTTAGTTGGTTTAGTCGACTTAAACATTAAAAAGGTTTTAGTCAGTTTTATGTTGCAACAAAAGTTAACCTTTACAACTTGGAATAACAACCAGATTCTTTCCCAGACTGGCAGCTCTATCCTAGATGCTGCAATAGCTGGGTATAGAATGCTGCTGTGCAGATCATCATTGCTGCTGGACAGAAAACTTTGATTTATTAAATTCAAATAAACGTTTTAAATGAATGAATGCCCTACTTTATAAATAAGTGTCTCACAAAAGCTGTGAAAATAGATTATCTAATTCAACACGTCCTATTGGGTTAATATAGCAGACAGACAAGCTAACAAAATGTCCAATAAAGGAATTATTTTATCATCCAAGGTTTCCATCCCAAAGCAAACACTTCCTGATCTGCTATGAATTCTGCATTAAACACAGGTCAATAAAATCTGCATTACTCCAAAAAAGCAAAGAAAAAAAACATTTTTCTCTCTACTTTGGTGATTTTGGTTTTATTTCTGAGAATTTCCCCCTCGGTTCCTGCTGCTCAGGCGTCAAAGTAGATTTAAATTCACATTATTAACAAAATACAGAGAGAACCTCCATAATTGCCTTTTAATGCCATGGAAACCCAGACCTAAATTGAATGAATATGGTACTAAGATGTTGAAATATTTAAGGAAACATTTACAACATATTGAAATAGAAATNAACAGCAGCGTCTTCAGTCAGAGGCTTCAATAGAAGCCTGAGTCAGTAAGACAGGCAGATACAGACCATCCTTCCTGCCTGCAGTCATCAACGTCTATGAATAAATATGAAAAAGAGTTATAAAAACCTTTAGTTTCCCTTTGGTTAATCAATGGAGCGTTTATGACTTGAATGTCTAACACTGCTTTTATTTCTGATCTTTTTTCCACAGCCGCATCACGTGGGCCAAGTTCATAAACTGTGGTCAGACCTGCATTGCTCCAGATTTTATTCTGTGTGAACCTTCTGTCCAAAGCAGAGTAGTGGAAGCGATCAAGAAGTGCATTAAGGTTAGTTGGGTTCAGTGTTATTACTATTACTAGTCTTAGTCACTTTTTAGTCATTGCTATATGTGATAGTTTTAGTTGGTTTAGTCGACTTAAACATTAAAAAGGTTTTAGTCAGTTTTATGTTGCAACAAAAGTTAACCTTTACAACTTGGAATAACAACCAGATTCTTTCCCAGACTGGCAGCTCTATCCTAGATGCTGCAATAGCTGGGTATAGAATGCTGCTGTGCAGATCATCATTGCTGCTGGACAGAAAACTTTGATTTATTAAATTCAAATAAACGTTTTAAATGAATGAATGCCCTACTTTATAAATAAGTGTCTCACAAAAGCTGTGAAAATAGATTATCTAATTCAACACGTCCTATTGGGTTAATATAGCAGACAGACAAGCTAACAAAATGTCCAATAAAGGAATTATTTTATCATCCAAGGTTTCCATCCCAAAGCAAACACTTCCTGATCTGCTATGAATTCTGCATTAAACACAGGTCAATAAAATCTGCATTACTCCAAAAAAGCAAAGAAAAAAAACATTTTTCTCTCTACTTTGGTGATTTTGGTTTTATTTCTGAGAATTTCCCCCTCGGTTCCTGCTGCTCAGGCGTCAAAGTAGATTTAAATTCACATTATTAACAAAATACAGAGAGAACCTCCATAATTGCCTTTTAATGCCATGGAAACCCAGACCTAAATTGAATGAATATGGTACTAAGATGTTGAAATATTTAAGGAAACATTTACAACATATTGAAATAGAAATGAGAACAATGAGAGAGAACTATTCAAAGATCTATGAACCTTTTCATCTGGATCTTTATCCAGAAATAAACAGAATGCAATGAATTATTTGCTTTGGATATAATTCAGGGATTCCTTTTGTTAGAAATTAAAGAATGTTTAGCATCTTTCTGGAAGAAATAAAATCTTGATAGTCAGACAAAGGGATTTTTTATGCTTGGCAGAGGATGATCAGCCACATCTAGTTTATTAAGTAGCGAGAGCAGGAGGAGCTGTACTGCTGAGAGCGAACCATCAGTGGAGTGTAAAGCGCAGACTCTGAGCTAAGCTACGCAAAGACGCATTTCTGCACAAGCACAGCTGGAAGAGGAGAGTTGGTCAGAGTTCAGCACGCAGTACCGGATCATTCTGGGTTATTTTTTCCCCTGCCGCCGCTGCCATGATCCATCTGCGCTCCTGCAGCATGTGCAACGCTGCGGGGCAGGTGGATCAACCAGCACGCAGCTGCATGGCTTATATTGCTCAGCAGATTACAGCACAATGATGCATTTTAAACATCTGAGCGACCATCCGCTCATTTTGATTTAGTCTTGTTAACGAAAACTCAAACCCACCCAACCAACATCAAAGATCCATGTTTAGCTCGTCAGTTTTTGTTATTGTCATGAAAAAAAAGGAGAGTAAACGAAATGATTTCATCATCCTCATCATTTACTAAAAAACTCTGGTTGGGTTCAGGCATTGTTACATACTCCAAACAGTGCTTGGACTTCGCAAAAGGTTTGCAAATATTCCACATCAGTAAATAAGCAAATTATTCAAAAGATACACCAAAAGTCTATATATTGGGTTTGTTTGGACAGGGAAAAAAAAAATCTTAGAATATGGTGGAAAAGTGTGAAATGTTTGAAACTCTTGCATCACACTCATCTGGTATAGATTTTTTTACACGTAGATGGTAATAATACAAGACTTTCCTTTAATTCTTATCACTATTGAATATTAACAATAACTAAATGTCTGTGTGTGAATGTAATCTGTTGATAAGTGAGATAACGGCGGCAGTTTGACTGCCATGTTTTTCAGTTCTCTGCTTTATGCATTTCGATCCCAACAGCAGCCATTTTATAGATATGTTTTTGTTTTAGGTCAGAATTATTTGTCTTGAAGTCGTGGCGATCATTCCTGCCTAGCGCTGCGCTTACCTACCAAGATGGCGTCTGGATTAGGGCTGCAACTAATTTAATTTAGGAAAGAAATTATTCTGTCAATAAGTTTTTCAATGAATTGATTAATAATGGGAAATATTAAGGTTCCTTAAAGAAGATTTCTAACTAAATCAAATCAGGTGAAACTAAAATGGTTCCAACTGAAGAGTCCTGGATTTAAAATATTGACAGATGAAAATGTTCTTTAACTTAAATACAAAAAGTTTATATATATTGGTTATTATATTTAATT